TCTGCTGTAGTGTAGGTGAATGACAGCAGTTTAACCGTGACACGTGCCGGAGCTTCACGCTGTCTTACAGCAGATATTTTACTCAAACATCTGGACGATTGAGCTTGAGGAGCTTCACATGATCTTGAGCGTTACATATGTTTGACAGGTGCATCTGTGAATCAGCAGAAACACATTCAGCTGCTTGAGTGTATTTTTGGACTGATGAGAAACCAGCTGAGATGAGTTTAGGCGTGAGCTGCTGCATTACAGTATTAAAGCAGAGACACAGACAGAACCTGCCACGTACTGATGCTGCTTTGACCCCGGGGTCACGTTGCCATGGCGATCGGGTCAATGAACCTGCTGTCAGCACTGCATCAGCATCTTCACTTCAGATTCACCTCGCAGCCGGTGAACCACATGGATGCAGATGGTTTTGATGGTGGTCCAACTTTGCTTCTGCAACCTTAGCAACCACCCAGAACATCCTAGCAACCATAAAGAAATTTTGACTTTAAATTATTCCAATTCTCTATCCCAGGGTTTCCAAAACTGCGGCTTTTGAGTTTGTGAAAGTCCTTTAATGAATTAAATCATGAAACTGAAATTAAAATAATTTTAAAGCAAAACATAAAAAAAGTCTATGTAGCTTTAATTAATTTTTATTTCAGTTTAAGTCATTTTAGTACTTCAACTTAAACCTATTTCAGTTAGTTGCTAAGGAAACATTTCTAATTTTTGTTTAAATTTTGCAAGATAAAACATTTAAAAATGTGAAATTAAAATAAATAATTTTAAAATTTAAAAAATTTAAAATGAATTTAAGGTCAAATTAAAATAATTAAAAATGAAAACAAAAATGTCAAATTAAAACATAATTTAATAATAAAACCTAAAAAAAATCAATATAGCTTCAATCTATTTCTGTTTTAGTTTGAGTCATATTAGTACTTATTTCTGTTAGTTGCCAAGGCAATGTTTCTTATTTTTGTTAAATAATTTAGATTTATTTTTTAAATTTAATTTAAATTAATTTCAATAATTTAGAGGTAAAACAAAAAATGTCAAGTTTAAATAATTAAAAATTCAAACAAAAAATGTCAAATTAAAATAGATGTTTTCAAAATAAAACAAAAATAATTTTAAAATAAAGCAACAAAATGTAAGAAATAATGTTAAAGCAAAAAAATAATAATAATTTTGAAACAAAACTAAAATAATAAAAAAAAACTTAAAGCAAATATAAAATTAAAATACATTTTAAAATAAAAACAAAATAAAACACTTACTAAAAAGATCAAATATTGTATTTGTTCACCTGCGTGATCATGAACTGGCATCAGAGAACTGTGAGCGTGAGAGTGTGTTGTTTAATTATTGAAATATTAACTTGTGTGTTGTGTTGGTCTGATGAAGCGGTGTGCCTGTGGTGTTCCTGCTGTAGGTGAGAGCTACGTCTGCGCCTCCAACGAACCCTACAGGAAGGTGGAGTACACCAAGAACGTCAACCCCAACTGGGGCTCGCGGCTGGGGGCGGGGCCAGTGGGCGGAGCCGGGCGTCAGGGGCCTCAATCGAGGGACCCGAAAGACTTCATCAAACCCAAACTGGTGACAGTGATCCGCAGCGGCGTGAAGCCCAGGAAGGCTGTGAGGATCCTGCTGAATAAGAAGACGGCGCACTCGTTCGAGCAGGTGCTCGCAGACATCACCGAAGCCATCAAACTGGACTCCGGCGTCGTCAAGAGACTCTACACGCTGGACGGAAAACAGGTGCGGATGCCAAAATACACATCAGAAGAAAAAGCTCTAACACTTCTGTTAATCAGTCAGAGCGGCTCGTTAATGCTGATCAGCTCAGAACGACGGATCAATAATCATCTATTAGTAATGCATCCTGTTCATTGATTATATTGCATTGCCTTAAGAGACTCAGAATCAATAGTAGTTTATTCTATTTATTGTTATTTTGAATGAGCTTTTGTTTTATATTTTCAGTTTTGTAGTCGTTTTGTTGGTTCGTCATTGTTCTTTATAGATTTCATTTAAAGTGATCGATTGCCCGGAAATGATCGTTTTGTCATCATTTACTGTCCCTCGCGTCATTCAGATCGGTTTGATTTTCTTTCTTCTGCGGAAACAAAATAGAGACATTTCAAAGAATGAGAAAGCGGCTTGGACTTAAGATTTAGGTGAATATCCAATTAAATTTGATATATTATTTATTTTTCAGATTGCAAAATTTTAATAAAGACAAATATTGAATATATTTATAAATTGTAAATATTATTTAAATATATTTAAATATTATGAAGATTCAGGTAAAATAAATAACAGTGTGTGTGTGTGTATATATAATAATAATAACAATTAATAATTATTTATTATTATTTAATTATTAATTAAATTACATATATATATATATATATATTATATAAACAAATATTAAATATATATTAACAGGTTTTACATTTAATTTAAATATTTAAATATATTTATTTAAATATTAAGATTTAAGTGGATAACTAATTTTATTTTATATATTATTTATTATATATAAATTATATACAAATTTAAAATATAAACAAGTATTCAATACAAGTTATTTAATATATCTTATAATTATTTATTTAATTATTATTATCATCATTATTCTTATCTTTTAATACATCTTATCTCACCATTTTATCTACTATTTATATATTTAATGCCCAGTCAAAGTAGCTGACCAAGTTACGTCTCACTGCAAGTCGTCTTCTGTATATAACTGTGTGTGCGAAGAATACAAATGCAATCTTGACATTTCAGTCTGTTCCTCAAACAAATGATCATGTGACTTACAATATAGTGCACAAGTCACTGTTATGATGCTTTATGGTCATATTTGGAGCTCAATAAGGCTTTCATCAGATGAGAAAGAGAAGAGCAGCGAGACCATTATTCTGTCAGAAGTGATGAGAGACTGATGGCTGATGGACGGAGACAGGCTGAATAATGGATCTGTCTCTAGAGTCACAGTAATGTGGATCTTCCAGAGCGTCCCGTCTCACTGCGTTACTGCTGTGATTCACTCAAACATGTCCCATTCAAATACTTTTGCAATTAAACATAAAAATGCAGAATGAAAGGAAATTATTTAAACAAAAACAAATAAAATAAAAATAAGACCATGCAAAATTAAAATAAATAAATGTAAAACAAATCCTAAAAATTAAAATAAATAAATAAATAATAATAATTTTAAAATAAAACAAAAATTTACATTTAATTACTTTAATAAAAAAATTAATTAAAAAAAGATTTAATTAAAAGAAACATTTTTATAATAAAACAAATAATATTGTAATAAAACAAAAATCTAAAATTAAAAATAATGATTTAATATAATTTTTTTTATATAATTTGAAAACAAATGTAAACATGTTAAATGAAACCATTTTATGATAAAACAAATAATATGAAAGAAATGAAATGTAAATTAAAATATTTTTAAAACACAATATAAAAATGTCAAATAAAAATGAGTAATTTAAATAAAAATAAAACTAATTATCTTAAAATAAAACTAATTTAAACAACGCATGTAAATAAATCACTTCAAAATTAAAACATTTTAAATCAAATAATTATAATAAAAAAATTATAATATAAAAACAAAACATACATGTAAAATTAAAAAAAATCTTTTAAAAATAACAGAAGTAAATATTTTTAAAATGAAAAACAAACGTAAAATTAATTTTAAAACAAAACAAAAATATAAAATTAAAATTAAAATAAACCAGTTTAAAACAAAAATATTAATGAAACACTAAAAAAGATATAAATAGTTGGTTTGGCCGGCATCAGACGCTGCAGTTTCTACAGTGAGTCTAATTAATTCTGAGTAAATTACACTGCTGTCTGACTGTGACGGGCTAATAGAGAGAGTGTGTGTGAGTGTATGTGTGTGTGTGTGTGTGTGTGTGTGTGTCTGTGTGTGTGTGTGTGTGTGTGTGTGTGTGGGGGGG